AAAAATGTGACCACAAATTAAAAAATTAAAATGGATAAATTTGTAAATAAAATTAAAAAATTTTAATCCGCTAGCGGTTTGGTACAAAAAGCTACATAAACTAACTTTTTCAATCCGCTAGCGATTTGAACTCTAACCACTATTCGCTAGTCTCAAACCGTTAAATAAAAATTTTACCAAACACTTTATTTATAGCGGTTTCGAAATATATAAATTTACCAAACACTTATATTTAGCGGTTTACGTAAAATCGCTAACCACTACTCCAAAACTGCTATACCAAACGGGGCCTTAATTTAATTAGTATTTTCCTTTTATTATTTTTTTTAGTTAAACTTTTTTCCCATTTGGTTGTCCAAATAAATTTGGATTAATTATTTTAGTATTTAATTAAATACAATTCTCGTGAGTTTGACATTCTTCTGATCATTATATTATTTGAAGCGACTAATATACTTGTTAAGGTGATTTTAGTGCATCAATGCACCTTCCCTTCACCTGCAGGGTTCTTCACTTGAGTTGAAATCATCATATTTTTATCCCTTTCTTCCATGTGCTGGATCTGCTTGACTATTTCTGCTTCATTCCCACATGCCACAGCTCCAATTTTCTTGCCAAATTCCCAGATTTCTTTTGCCATGCTGTATTTGCTTCTAGACCTGTGACCCCGGTTACAATTGGCTATGGCTCCATCTGAGACTGATTCACCCGCAACTGGTTTGGATAAATGTGGGTGGAAATTGGGTAGTAATTCCATCAGCTTTTCCCCCTGTAAGTTAGCTCCTCCTTTCTTCTTCCTTTTTGATTCTTCTGCAGCAACTAGAGTAGCTTCTTTGTAAACAGACAAACATGATCAGTGCCTTCTTCTTTTGTTCTTTTTCTTTCTTGATTTTTGCCTCACTTCTCGAGTCATCCAATCAGCGAGGGGTTCAGACCCGCTCTCCATCCCTTTCCAAAAAGAGGTTCCATCATCCTCATCGGAGTTCTCTGTCAAAGAATGTTTAGAAGAAGAGTGCAACGCACCTAGCCCTTCCAGCCGACCCGCAGCGTCTTGTTCTTGGGCCTGGGAGCAGGCCAAATTTGAGAATGCTTCTATATTTTTACTTTCATCATCTTGCGATCTACCTTCTGGATTTTCTGTATTTTCATGTTGGGCCTTCTCGCTAGTTTTTACCAATAGATATTGGGCTTTGCTTTGACCTTCACTCAATAATTGTTCTTCATTATACTGCTGATCGGGATCACCAGTATTTAAATTTGAATTTTCTGTCTTTTCATCCAACGGACTCTTATTAATGAGTTTCGGCTCCTCCAAATTTTCTGGCACAATCTCCACAGATTTGTCGTCAGAACAAATTTCTTGGAAGTTGGAAAGCTTCCTCCAAACTTCATCTTCGGGGTGGTTGAGCTTGACATTTCCGCTACAGCTGCATGCTGCTTCTCTGTTGTCAATCCCTTTGCCTTCCACGTATCGACTGATTGCCACATCATCATCTCTTTCAATGTGCATCTGTTCATGGAGGGAGCCCCTGCACTGGAAACCATGGTCGTCACTCATGGCTTCATTTGAATACCATGATTCAAAGCTCTTTTCCGTCGTATCATCAGTGGAAAATTTTGGAATGAAGTCTGTTTTTAAGTTAAATCATCCGTTGGTGGTTTCCTCCTCCTTGCACTTGATACAATAGATGTATCCATTAATTCTGATCCTGAGAACTCTTGAAATGAGATTGGTTTCAGGTGTTGAGATGAGCATACGAGCCACATCAAATCTCTTCTTGGCTCTGGTACTTTCTATGAAGACTAAATCAGAACAAGCAAGATCACAGGAATCAAATCCAGCAACAGCATATAAGCTAAGAAAGGAAACAGAAGATATTAGAAGGGAAAAAGGATCAGCTAAGGATACAAAAGATAT